CAGAACTTTTCCCCCCCATTGGGGCTTGTACTCCAACTGTGTCCTTCAGGGGCAACAGCCACAGCTTAGACACTAAGCGCTTGGTAGTTCTAGAAGCGGTTCTAATCGCCGCCATTCAAAAAACTCTATCTCAACCAATGATTAGCCTCGTAATTTTCGTAAGCAAGCACTTCATCGGGGGTAAGTCTCGTCCTTGACTGGAACCACATCGTTGAGGCCAAGAAAAGGTCGGAAGCACGCCATTTGGAAGCTTGAGAGCGTCCCCTTTCATCGGGCCCAGTATGACTGCTGCAGGGAAGACACACGCTGTCATTTGTTCATTCGGTAAAGTTCAGCTTTCTGACATCAGGCTCTATAAAGCTAACTAAGGCACCACTCGTTAAAAATGAGCTAGTGTTAGAACATAATGGTCTGCAGGATCCTCTGAAAGAAACAATAACACAGCAGCATTCGCAGCTCTTTGAATCCAAGCACTGAAGATCCAACATCCCGGTAAAAATTATGCTTGGCGGTTTCAACAGCCAAAATAAAATACCAATCGACGGGATTCCATAGCGCAAAACTCCAGCAGCGCCCACTTATGCTCATCGCTTACGAAGAGTTGGAGCAGCGCCTTTAGTTCGTTTTTAGCTCCTACAAAGTTGGTTGTGTTGGCAGACCAATTTGAGGCTTTCGGTGGGTGCATATAAACCGCCCGCAGAAAAAAAGTTATGGAAAGGTCCCTTACAAGCTCCAGGTGAATGGGTTTGGTGCAAAACAAATAAAAGCGTTCACGTATCATTTTACAGACGCCTTATTGCGATCATCTGGCTTGTAATAAAAAGGCATACAAAAATTCATGCCAGTCACTCCAAACCTGGCAGCCGTTAACACTTTTTTTCCGGGGTATCAGCCATAATGTCCAGCAACCTTGGTCCGGCAGAATTGGATACATGTGTATAATGCCTTTGTCACTTTTTTCTTCAATTGGATAATATTAGGATCGAATGGTCGCTAACTCAGCTCGAGGCCCCGTGTGTAGATACCACACAACGTAGATACACAAGTCGCAATAAGAGCCACTCATATTGGTCTTCAAGGAGAAACGGAAGACCGTGAGACAACAGATTATTCTCAATCAATTTATTGAGTAGAGCACCACGCGACAGGATGTTTGCTGGGTTCCCATTGCTCTAGTTAGCTCCTGAATAGTCAAAACTCGGCTGACGACGAAAGTATTAAAACTAGAGCGTTCTTCTCGAATCTAAAACAAAGCCACAGCAGCATCACACCAGCAAAAATACTTCCCAACCTACACCAACTTAGGCCTTAAACTTCTGACATAAGTTGTGGCAATAACTCGGCTGCCGATAACTCGGGCTTCGGTTCCAGGCGCAACTTGTGACTTCGAGCAGATAAAATAACTCGCAGATCTTGTGCCCTTGGACACGACATAAACGCAAGCACCATACGATTCAATGCTGGCGTCACAGAATCCATAAAAATCCACCTCGAATTGCCTTGTTAGCGAGCACTGCGCCCAGGCAAAGCTGTTACAAATCATATCCCAGTCGGAGTAAAGAGCTTTCAACTCAGGAAAACTTCTCCCTTCTAGCTACTTGTAAAAGATCTACAGCCGGGCGACTAAAGAAAGAACGATGCGCCTAAGGGGCTTTGAGGTTCACTGAAGCCCTTCAAATGAAAATAGCAAGTGGTCAGTCGAAGGACCCCAAGCAAGGCCCAGAGTCATCGTAAAATTGAAATCTTAGGAACTTTAGGAAAGACTCCCGATCTTTCATAGGCATATTAGCCAGCACAGCAGCAAAGTTGGAGATCCACTTTTTTAACCAAAATTGACCTTTGTCGAGAATCCCCGCTTTTTTCTGCATTATGAAATTGAGAAATTTGATCTACATAAAAATAGCGACGCAGAATTTCGGCCTCTATTAGAAACATTAATTTCTTATCCTCTGCCAACTGATGCATTGCCCAAACTAAAAATGAGGCTGGCTTCGTTCCATAAGTGACAGAATCGTCAGTGACGTTCTCATAAGCCGGAATTGGAGACATATGCCCCAACGCCAAACACTTTTTTATGAAGGCATCACATTGGTATGAAGGCAGAAATCGGCGCACGGCTTGGTAGTAAGATTCTCTCAGCAACTTAGAACTGATTTCGACAGAAGGCTCACAGCAAAACCGCTTGAATCAAGCCTATAAACCTATCACAATCTAACTCCTCCTTCGTCCGTTTAACTAAAACTAGGCTGGAGGTCCGTGATGTTGGCTGCGATAACAGCGCTAACATGCCCCATTGCTAGACCGCAGTACAATATTAACAGAGAATCCGTCTCTCGCAAAGCCAGTTTCGCCAATACCAGATATCACCATGAACGATTTGCAATCTCGGAGCTGCAACTGATTAGCCAGTCGGAAAGTAATCACGTGCCCCTGCGATCCGGAATGTAAAAGAGCTAGGCCAGGAACAAGGCCTCAAAATCAACTTCGAAAAAGAATGTCTGCTGTAGCAGGCAAAGCTAATCACTGCTGCGACCTAAGGTACAGACAGTGGAAGATGAATAAGTAATAATAAAGGACGTTGTATTGTTATTTGCGACTCTACGCCATCCATTTGAGCACGTATGGGGCCTTGGCAACGACCATAGCCTCCAACGTCCTGTATCGCTGCTCCAGAACTTCTGCCATCGACTCCTAAAAAGTAATTTTAGCTCTTCTCCCACTTACCCGGGGCTCTTTAAAGGAAGATGCAGCCTGCAAGCTGAAACGACTTAAAATCTTCGAAGCGCGCATATGGGCATTGAATTTGTCCGAAAGCCCTCAAAGAGCTGCTATTGAGCCACCTTCCAACAGACTGAGGCTCAGAATCTCGTTCACGTGTACCTGAAATATTAAACGACGGTTATTAAATCGTTTCTCCAATAAATTCAGCGCGACATCAGTGATACCGAGAATCTCGTTCACGTGAGCCTGAAATATAAGGCAAAGGTTAATAAATCGTTCCTCCAACAAATTTAGCGCGACGAACTGCTTCTAAAGCGGAGCCCGGAAGGCAAGATCGCAACCTTTGCAGCTTTTTCACCTTATTATATGCGCGTACAACTCGTAGAGTACAACTCCGAGTATCCACCGCTGAAGGTAGGGAGAGGAAGAGGAGGCAAGGCATGAATCGCTGACTGAGCCCTGGGGCCCTGGGCAGTAATTCAAGCAGAGAGCAGTGGCGACTCATACTTGATATCGGCATGCAGTGTCGCAACGAGCTTGGAAACAGTCCATCGCAGATCGCTGCTGATCTCGAAAAATTAAATTCCTGAAGCTTCCCGTGGATGGCCTTGAAGTCATCGTTGATGGCTACTGGCTGACATCATCCACCTTGGAGACTGGCTGGAAGCTTTCCTGGTATCCTTTTTAAGTAAGGGAAATACCCAGGACCTTGCTCTTTAAAAAATAACAACGGGCTGGAGTGTGTGCTGTGTGACTGTTCCGCTAGAATTCATAACCGTATTGAACGTATGTATTTATGTGTGTCTGTAATAAATAAAGCACTAGAAACAACTTTTTGACGTTATGCTTATGTATTTGAATTTATTTTAATAATAAACTAATTTTAAATAAATAATTATTGTGTTTTAGTTACTGATGTACTGATATACTGAGTACTCAATTTCTTCAACTAAACTACATATATTTTTGCGGATCTATTTTGTTTTTAATAAATCGTTAATTATTATTTGGTCTTGTATCAGCAGCAGATTTTCAATAATAATCAAATTTGTAAGTTAATGATGAATTCTTTAATCTGTCCGGTGCATTATCGCGGTATACATTTGTCCTCTGTTTGATTTTTGCGCAAGTTCACCGGGCGTTGTCTCGCCAGGCGAACTTTTCAAATGCGTGCATAATCTCTCTTTCCTTATCACTCATTCGGCCTTCATACAAATCCATTAGCCGCCAAGCACCGGTAGTCTACACTTTTCTTAAGCTCATCGCGCCGCACAGACCACCGCCTTCGAGCCGCCTCTCCGCTCTCCGAATAACCTTAATAAATAAAAGGCACTTCATTGAACGCGTTGGTTAATTGGGAACTGGGAAAACTGCCGGTACCGAAATCGGTCTATCTTTTCACTTAAATTTACGGCTACCATTTTTGGATCTTGATCCTCTACACTACGGTTCAGTGTGCCAAAAATACATCTTTCCTTTGGCTATGAAAACGTTTTTGGGTTTTCAAATATGTTATGAATTTTAGTTTGCCAATGAATGTTGGCGCACATGCTCGCCAACTTGAATTTAATTTGCTCACCAACTAGAGCCAACATGCGCGCGAACATAATTTTTTGATAAACTTTCAAGCAATCAACATGTCAACGGACAACGACAGCGGCTCTGTAATTGTACTGATAGCAATCTATATATATATAATTCTCGTGTCACAGTTTTTGTTATTATACCCCTCCGAAACGGCTATACCGATTCTCATGATATTTTGAGAGCGTATTGAGTAGGTTTGAGAATCCGCCAACATCTATTTTTCATCCTCTTAAATCCTGTTCGACATACCAATGCCAATAAAACGCAAAGGGAATAGCGTTAAAAAACAACTAATAAAAAAATTTATGCTTTATTTAAGATATGAGTTATCTACTGCCTAATCCGACAAAGTTCTTACTTTATATTTAATATAGCTTAAACCTACAAAGGCTAAAAATTGGATGTAAATTGACGTTGGCATGGCATGCAGGCTCCTGGGATAAATGGGATACAGCAATGGACATTCTTAGGGACTGTAGAAAATGAGACATCTATTGTTGAGAGATCCTTTTATATATCATGATAAGAAATGTATTCAAATAAATGTTATTTATGTAACTTTTTGGCAATCTGAGTGCTAACACTAACCACACATATTGTATTGTACTAGGTATGAATAATGGAATCTACATTCTGTCCCATATTTCATTGTTTCATTTTGATCCACAGCACTCGATGACATTTTATCAAATATCAAATTAAATGAGTATCATATTTTTTACACTTATGCAATTGTGATTTATTTAAATGCTTGAATATGCTTTCTTCAAAACTAGCTGGTTTATATCTTAAGCGGCACTTGGTCACAACATTATCGGTGAACTATGCCCGATCGCATTTTACATATTTTCCCACTGCAACGGGTCCTGGAAAGAAAATGAATATGTTCAACGCAATAAATAATGCAATGGATTTAGCTTTGCAAAATGACGAATCGGCTCTTCTATTTGGAGAGGATGTAGGATTTGGTGGAGTTTTTCGGTATTAAACAATTTTAAACGAAAACGAAAGAAAGGAAAAAGCATATTTTTTTTTATTAAAATAGGTGTTCTGTAAACCTTCGCGATAAGTACGGAAAGGATCGGGTTTTTAATTCACCACTATGTGAACAAGGAATCGCTGGGTACGTTAAAAATATTTGACACAGTAAATTTTATTTTTAAAAATTTTTGTTATAATAAATTGGTTTTATAATGATATTCTTATAAGGATCGGCCAACTATATCCGATGTTTTCGATATAAATCTGTGTTTAACTTCAAGTGTTTATCAACTTCGGCTCCGCCCGGCTTTCTTGTTTTAGATCAGGGGTGCCCACTCCCATAGCTCCTTTGTTTTTGTAATTGGCTCCGAACCCTTCAGTACCATACCTCAAGGATTACTCAAGGAAACCTCGAGGTAAAGGAATTGCCCCCCAAGGAATCCTTGGGGTATATTTCATACAAACCATCAACGAATTTACATAAAAGAGTGGCTCCCATCGAGGAATTCGAACACCCCAAAGCAGTGGTGCTCATCCCATTGCTCTCGCTGCTCATTTGTTTTTGCAAATGCTCATGCCTACCGAGTTGTGTGAGTCTGCTCACGCCATAAGATTCGTTGCTCACGCCATAAGCATCGTTGGTCCCATCATAAGCAAAGGGCAATTACAATAACAATTTTTCGTGTTTTCCCTATTCTCCTCAATCGTACTAATCCGAATGAATTTTGTTGTTGGAGTGCCGAAAACTTTTCACTGCAAGAAATTCATTCTTGTTTTTGTTTCTGCCAAAATAGTCGACCTGTAGCGATGAATTTGTTCTTCGCAGAACATTTTTTTTTAACTAAGAAGCTCTGGATATTTGTCATAGTATAATAATAAGCTGTTTTAAAATATGTAGCGCCATTTTTTAATTGCTGTAATAATCTTTAGTATATTGATATTTTTAAACCCCTTGTGAATGTTACTATAATTTTATTTTTAAGTGCAGCCACATGGATGGGAAAAAAATTCTCGCACCAATGTATTGGTGATTTTTTGCATTGGTATGGGAGTTTGCTCTTCCGTATGCAGAGCTTGGGCACCACTGCCCCAAAGAATACTTAGGGAATACTTTAATTGTGCAGGATTCCTTCAGTAATTCGAAGAGAATTTCGAACTAAATACCCCTGGGGTATACTCTGAGGAATCTTTGAGGAAATACCCCAGGGAATCCCTGGGGTATAGTCTGACGAATCTTTGAGTAAATAGCAGGGATTCATATGGGATTTCACTGAGGAATCAGCGAGGAACTTTAAGGATTTGATTTTTGTCATTTTTTTTTCTCAATTTTTGACTTCCCCAAATCGGCCACCTCGACTACCTCGACTTCGTCCATTTGAGTCTCCGCAGTTAGGTGATCGTCTGAGAAAAGAAATAAATAAAAAATTAGATTTTATTTAATTTACTTGCCATCGACATTAAACGCCATTTTTTAAATTTTCTTACTAGGCTCGATCTTTGATCTAAAAAATAAAAAGAAAATAAATAATAACATAATATGTACAAGCGGCTAATGCCGTTTAATAAATATATGTACATATGTACATATATTGAACGGCCGCTCGGTATTTAATAAATAAGTTCATTATATGCACTACTCACCAGAATTAGTTATTTGGTCACTTAAATGTTTTTTAAAAAATTTCACTTCAACACAACAAACGCGTGTAATTTATAGAGATGAAACTGATAGCAGTTTGGCCGGATACCGGCCGAATGGCCGACCATTTGGCCGGATAGCCGGATATCCGGCCGCCGAATATCCGAATGTAGACGTCGCGCCAACGATCGGGTGGACTCGGTTCGATTTGGTTTTTTTCGTTGATGAGTGAAGTTAACAGTTGTATCCATATCCATAACCTGTGAGCTGGACTTTCATCTCTAGTCAATGCGAATTGATCGCACCCTTATTCTTGGTGGGCAGCTAATGCCCAAATTTAGCAAAGTTTGCAAAAATCTACCTCTGCTGCTCCTTGCACTACTGTGTATAGCGAAAGACTTTTTTCTGAAGCTGGCCTTATTAATGAAGAAAAACGCAACCGCCTGCTACCTCTCAATGCAGAGGAATTAGTATTTATCCATCATAATTTGCCCTTAGTGCAGTATGAGTACTAAATGTACTAATTCCATTTCCTTGTATAACATTTACTTACTATTGTGTAATTTAATACTTAAGATTAACTAAATAAAGCAAATAATTAACAAAAATATGTTTACAGGGTGACAATAAATAACCTGAACAATGCAGCCCTTAAATAAATGCATTTATCAATAGCTTGTACTTTTTTGAAACAAATGTATTTACATTTTTGTGATTCCCATCCATTTGATATTTGTTTCGGAATGTCTAACAATCGTTGTGCAATTTTAAAACTGTTTCAACAAGGAAATCGCCAATGCGACATTGTTCGTTTGCTTGGCATACCAAAACAAACGGTCTCTGACGCTATCCGGCCATTTAATGAGCTTTGCCATGAAGGTGACCGTCCCGGACGAGGCAGACCATGTACCGCTAACACTTCCAGAATTCGCCAGATAGTGAAAAAGCGGATCACTCGGAATTGCAGAGTCTCGGTCACGAAAATAGCCCGTGAAATCGGAGTGAATCGAGAAAGTGTTCGGTTGATAGCAAAAAATGAACTTAATTTCAAGCCCTACAAGCTCTAAAAAATGCATCTTCTTACGGATGACAATAGGCGCGTAAGACTCCAAAGATGCCATCAGCTAAAGCGTCGGGCCGCAGGTCAATAATGGGAGTGTATTCTTTTCACGGACGAGAAGATATTCACCATCCAACAGGCGCACAATCACCAAAATGACAGAAGCTGGTCTGCTAAAGCTCCAGGTACCTCTGCAATAATCGAGCGCCGTCAATGTGAGAAGTCTTTAATGGTTTGGGGAGGAATATGCGCCACTGCCAAAACACCCCTTGTTTTCATCGATCAAGGGGTCAAAATCAATCAGGAAGTGTACCGCCGGGAAATTTTGGAAACTGTTGTGCTTCCTTGGGCCCAGCAGCACTTCGGTGATACGGAGTGAACGTTTCAACAGGATTCAGCGTCAGCCCATAGAGCCAAATTGACTCAGGACTGGTGCAAAGCCAATTTTCCGGACTTTATCACATCCAGTGAATGGTCACCTTACTCGCCAGATCTTAATCCGATGGACTATGGTGTGTGGTCTATTTTAGAGTCCAGGGCATGTGCTTAACGCCACATAAATTTGGAGGCGCTGAAGCAATCATTGCTCCGAGAATGGGATCGATTATCGGAAGAAGACCTGCGGCCCATTGCGCTAAATTTCCAGAAACGTTTAGGACTCTGCATCGAAGCCCAAGGAAGTCACTACGAAATAACCTGAACAATGCAGCCCTTAAATAAATGCATTTATCAATAGCTTGTACATTTTTGAAACAAATGTATTTACATTTTTGTGATTCCCATCCATTTGATATTTGTTTCGGAATGTCTAACAATCGTTGTGCAATTTTAAAACTGTTTCGACAAGGAAATCGCCAATGCGACATTGTTCGTTTGCTTGGCATACCAAAACAAACGGTCTCTGACGCTATCCGGCCATTTAATGAGCTTGGCCATGAAGGTGACCGTCCCGGACGAGGCAGACCATGAATGTATGTTAACACAATAACTATTTAATAGTTGTGTATCTGCATTTTTTCTCAAATACAGTTCCTTAAAAAGTTATGATCAAAAATGTTTGTCCGGGTTATTTATTGTCACCCTGTATTTTATAAAGCTTTTTTTTTTAAATCGGCCGGATATCTATCCGGCCAAATCGTAGCTATCCGGTATTCGGCCGGATAGTATCATGGAGGCCGGATAGGCCGGATACCGGATAGTTGCCGGATATCCGTTTCATCTTTAGTAATTTATATGCAACTTGAACATCAAATGCAAAGAGAAGGGGAGTGGCAAGACGAAACCGAAAATTGACAACCGAAAATTCTGGTGCGTGCCAGGGTATAGTCGACCAACGCAATGCCTTGTAAATAGAATCGTAAATAGAAATCGTAAATGTAAATAGTAATACATTTCAATATACCATATGATTAGATAAGAAAAATTAATTAAACGTAATCTTAAATATATATAAAAGTTTCAACATATTTTAAAAAGGGTATTCTGACGTCGCTTCCATTCATTTGGTTTTGACAGATTTTTTTCTCTCCCTTCCCTCCATCTACATCTCTCTAATTGTCTCTCTGTCGCATGCCGCTGCTCCGAAAATATGAAGTAGAAGCTTCAAGAATCATCGTCGAAAACCGAAAGCAGGTAGAAGTTTCGTTTTCCCTTTCGTTTCGGACTTGAGTAAACCAAGCCCATGCAATTTGTTTTTGTTTTTCGAACATGTCGCCAGGAAAAGTCGGGGAAGGAATTTTGGTACTGAAGGGAAAATATTGGCGAGAAAAGTGTATGTATGGCGAGTGTATGTACACGGCTATCGGCATGCGCCAATGCTAATTGCAAAAACAAATTTTCACTTTCGTTTTCTTATCTCTATTCTTCATCTGCATTTGAGCAAGGTAACTGTCAGGGCCGTAGCTAGAGCCTCGGGGACCCTGGGGCAACAAGTAAATTTGGGGCCCCCTATACGGAAGTCTTTTGCCCCGGCGGGGCGCTTTCCCTTCGGGGGCCCTGGGGAACCGCCCCACCTGCCCCATGCTAGCTACGGCCCTGGTAACTGGACTTGCAAGTGGTTGTTGTGTCATAAAATTTCATGAACATTTTGTTGTTGCTTTGGCTACGCGCATCCACTTGAGGAAATTGTATTATGCTTTTATTGCATTGTCGGCGCGTAAAATGATTCCTATTGTACTCCCTATTTTTTTCAGTGTATCCATTGAAATAAAAAAAAAAATTTCTTTACCAGTGTTGGTTTTTTCATAAGCAGCGTTTGGGCACCCCTGTTGTAGATTAATCAACTTATGTATGTATGTACATCGATACAAATGTATATACATATAACGAACTTTCGTTGAACTTAAATTTTAAATTTAAATTTAATCTGTAGTTATACAAAATTCTTACATGGAATTTATAAAAACCTGTGTGATCATAATACAATTCTAAAGATATTATAATT